TAATTTGATCTAAGAAATCTTGCATGGTCGTTTGTATGCAAGCGGTTACTACGTTGTCTTGTAATTGTACGACCTCGTCTACATCACTATATGGTAAAGTAGGTAGATTCAAAAAAAACGTCTCAAAAGATAAAACATGTGTTCACCGATTGATGTGCTTTGCATTGTTTTCGTTATAATTGTTAACTATTAAACTATAAATATTTTTGTCAAGCATGTAAACGCTGTTAGATTTGATGTAGTCGGTTAAAATGTTAAAGTTGTAGCCTTTATATTGTTCTGTGTATTGTATTAACCACGAGTTCACAACGTTGTTTGTTTAAGATAAAAGATTAAAAGCAATATTGCCTGACAAACTTTTGTCTACTAAAGAATCGCTTTCTAAAAAGCCTGAAGTCATTACAGCGTAAGGTCGACATAAAAAGGTTTCTTGATATGCGCTTTCTGTTGTCAATTTGTTTTCATTTCTAAAAGGTATGTTATACTTTTTAAATAATTCCACAATTTGGCAAAAGTAAGATGTTTAATTTGATAATAATCTGCAACCACTCTTAATTGCCTACGCTTTAAGGCGAGGCAAGTAAAGTTAAAAATTCGTTAGCGTAATAAGAATATTGTTTAGGATCTTTGATAATTTCGTAAGAAGATGCGTTAACGTTGTTAATAATGCTAGCTAAAGATTCTTTAACGTCGTCTATGTTGTTTAAAAAATGAATGTATATTTTTAAATTGTTTAATGTCGTTTCTTCGCCTCTAGGTTTATAAACACGTAAAGAAATGCGATTCGATCCAAACGTGTGATTGACTTGATTGTTACACATGTCTAATAAATTACGAACTAATTTGGCCATATTTGATTCAGCTAAATTTGCCATGAGTTTGGATACTTCTGCTTTGTTAAGTTTTTCGTAAAAAGTTAAAAATCAATTAAGAGGAGTTAAAAGGTAAACTTTTTTGTTAGTCGGATAAACGGTATTTAAATTAGTTTTTTGTGACAAGTTAATTAAACTTGCTTGTACAGAACTAGAAGGCATGGGATTAAGAGAATTGTTTTCTTCTTGAGGAACATATTTTTTTAAATTTCTCATGGTTCTTAAAGTTTCGCTAATGGTTCTCTGATCAACTTGAGCGTTAAATTCGTTGAATTTGTTTTGACCGATCAACTTGCTAAAGTCGTAAGCATCACCTCCTACGTTGAGATAAGTTTTCCATTTTTCTTGATCGTTAATTAGCGATGTTGTCAAGCCACCGATCAGCTGTGTTTCGATAGGTGATAAATTATTCAATACTTGTTGAAAGCGCAATTCCCTTTCGATTTGCGCTTCTGCATTTATCGGATCGGCATAGATAAGGGAAGAAGGTAAATCGTATCTTTCGATCAAATGAGAAATGTCAGATTTCATAGTTATTTCTGGCATGCCAGAATTTTGAGGAGCAGATTCTGTTTCTTTTTCTTCAGTTTCTTTTTCCATTTCCAAACTAGTTTTATTGTAAACGTCAGTGTTGTAAGCATTTTGTGCCAAAACTTTTCGCAAAGCGAGCAAAGGGGAATAAGAAAAAATGTACGGTTTATATCTATTCATATTTCAAAATAATACAAATCTTTTTGAGAATACAATTCTTTTTGACAATAATCAATATCAAATTGTTGTCTTAACAAATCAATAACAGTTTTTGTAGGTTGTAACGTGTCAAATGAAAATAATTTATTAGAGTAGTAATTTCTAATTTCGTGATAAAGTTCAAAACGAGTGGAGTTGAAATATTATTTCAAAACGTCATATTTATTGAAAACGAAATCCGATATGGTTTTGTTTTTGTCTTTTATTTTTACTTTTTTTAAAATGATTTTTCCGTTTTCGTTAAATTTAAGATAAGGATATAAAATTTCTTTAACAAACAATTTAATTTCTAAACACACGTAATCTTGAAAAACATTTTGATTTGTATTCTTTCGTGATTTGACAAAAGTTCGCATTTTAACATTTGTCAAATGTTAAAATGCGTCAAATGTTAAAATTTCGACTCAATTCGACAGCGTTAAATTGAGTCGAAATTTCTTTGATCTATATTTTGATTTCGTTTTCGTCTATATCTTTCCGTTTGTTCATTTTAGGTATAAAAATGTGACTGCGAACAGCTAATTTTTGTCTCATGTCTTTTCGTTTTGATGTTATTAGATTGCACGCTTCGTAATTGATTCGTAAAAATTGCAACAGTTCTTCGCTGTCCCAATCATTCCGATTCGCTTGATTCGTTTTCAGTATCTAAAAATTTGTCTGATGATTCGCACAATCCATATCGCTTTCTTCTTTTGATTTCTTCAAGCATTAAAGCAGCTCTTTCGCTCTCGCTCCATTTTCTTTTTATTGTTTGATTTTCTTTTTCACTATTTATATCGTTTATATCTTCTTCGTCGATAGTTTGTTGATTCTCCTTCTTTTTTTGTTTTTATCTTTAATCTCATCACAAAATGGATTGTGATGAGATTAAAGATAAAAATAATTTTTACAATTTTGTGCTTTAACGTTAGGAAACGATTAAAAAGTAACAATTTTTTTGTTCACGCTCATTTCTTGTAATTAAAATCTAACTTTCCTTGAGCGTCAACAGGTATAAACACTTTTTCTTCTTTGGATTTGGTAACTTGAGTTTATAATCTGATAACAAAATAATTTCTTTTAAATAATGCTAAATGACCGTGTTGACTAGAAGTTTCTTTGTTGAGCAAATCGCTAATGACGTGATGCATTTTGCCAGCTAAAAGAAAATCGTTTTTAAATATTTTTTCAATTTCGCTGTTGTTGTCAAAAGAAACGATACATTTGTAATGAGATACTAAATTATTCCAAGCTTGACTCGATTTAGAAGGTACTGCGTGAAATACAGTAATGGTACCTACACCGTGATGTGATCCGCTAGAACAAGCGCTAGTGTATTGTTGACTTTTGAGACAAAAAGCGCTAATGTCGTCAAACAACAAAATAGTTTTTAATAAACGGTGATCGCTGTTTTGAATACCGTATTTGTCTTTAGAAAAACTGATAGCACGTTGTATAACGGGATCTGAATTTGCAGGATTGTCTACTGTTGTAATGTCATAAGCTTCTAAATTATTTTTACCAGAATTGATAATATCACGCCACGTTTAGTGTTGAGATTTGCTAGGTTCTCTCATTTGAACAACAAATAACATTTCTGCATCCGGATATTAGCCATATTGTAAAAGCTCATGTGCCATAGTTGATTTTCCGCTTTTTGTAAGTTCTGTAATAATAGTGTTTTCAGGATAAACATCTTTTGAAGGTTTAAAAATGTTAAACTTGATTTTCGTTGGTGAAACATCGTCTTTGATATCAGGTTCTTCATGTTTACCTTTTAAATAAAAACTGTAAAAACTGTTTTCGTTTAATATTTCTGTTTCTTTTTTTTCATTTATAGATGGTTTGTTTTCCACGGGTTTAGTTTCAATTTTTTTTTCTTTTTTTTCCATTTTTTTATTTGAATGAAAAAAAAATATTAGACTACAACTTTTTATAACAAATTTTTTTTATTACAAAAAAAATTTTTTGTTAAGTAAAATAATGTTTATAACATTTTTTTTAAATGCTCCTTTTAATATCATTGCGTATGATGATGTGGTTAGTTATTTCTGTCTCTTTTTGCGTTCCAGCAATTTTTTGGTGAAATTTTCGTTTTAGCTGGCCAATGGGAATGCCTAAAAAATACCACGTGACTTGAGTAACCAAAGAGATTGGATCAGAATAGCAAAATCTGATTCGATAAAAAGGGATGTATTATAAAAAACGAGTGTTCCGGCATTGTTCTGAACCACGTGACTGTTAAGTGACCAATGGGAATTGGGCATTGGAATTGGACGTCATATTGTGGCACTGAGTATGCGGTGCGCATGCGCATCCCCCGCAAGGGGGTTGCGCGGCATGCGCCTTCAGATTTAGATGCCTAGACTAGCTAGATTAGGGTTAGTGCGTCATCTTATAAAAAAAAAAGTACTGAGCAAGCTTAGTGCGTCAAAGCTTCTATTTTGGTGTTTTTGTGCGTCAAAGCTTAGTTGTATAAAAAAAAAGAGTGTACTGCGCAAGATTAGTGCGTCAAAGCTTCTATTGTTGCGTCAAAGCTTAGTTCTATAAAAAAAAAGAGTGTACTGCGCAAGCTTAGTGCGTCAAAGCTTAGTCCTATTTAATAATACTGCGTCAACCTATAAAAAAAATTTAAAAAAAAATTAAAATAAAAATAGATACGAATGAAGACGGTGGTGAAATTATTACAGAAGAAACTATTACAGAAGAAAACGATATTAAGCAAGAAAAAGGATATAAAAGTAGAGTTTTAAACTATTTAAAAAGAAAAAGGCGATTTTTAAAATTAGTGCATAGAATAGTAACATTTCCTTTTCAAATCATTGCTATTGGTCTATATATATTATTTACTATAGTAATACCAGAAGCATTTGCAACTTTAGTTGGTGGTTGTGCAGCTTTCGGTTTTCTTTGTATATGGTGTTTTGTTGAAAATATTGAACAATACAACAAAGAAGAAAAACGTATTAAAAACGAAGAAGAAGAATAAAAAGAATGAATTTTTATGAAATAAAAACAAAATGCAAAAATGTATTAGATGATGTAGAAAAAAGAAAATACAAATCGATTGAAGATTTAATGAATAATTTAGACCTTGTTGTTATTCAAGAGTTAAAAACAAAAGAACTGTATAAAATTTGTTTTATATTAACATGTATTTGTAAAAAATATTTTTATATTATAGCTTTCGATACTCCTGGAAATAAAGAGAAAAAATGTAATTTAGATTTATTTGTTTTATGGAAATTTGATATTCGTAACAAACGTTTAATAATATTATTAAAGCGATTAGAAAAGTTTATAAATTATTATAAAGGATTTGAAAAATTTAATTTAAATCATGTAAAAGTATATGGTGAAAATACACTATTTGTTAACATGTAATTAATTTTTTTTTAGTTCAAAGATAGATATATCACAAGGATGGCTGAACGGTTAAGGCGATTTTTAAAATTTGTGTTTGATATAGTAACATTTTCGTTTAAAATCATTGGTTTAGCTTTATATGTGCTTTTTACTATAGAAATACCAGAAGCATAAAAAAAAGAAGGAATAAATAAACAAAGAATACCAGAATTTTTTTTGAAATGATTATAAATGAAGAAAAAAAACTGCTCTATTTTTAAGTAATGAAAAAAAAAAGTATAAAAAAAAATAACTTGTTTATTTTTTTTTAGATAAAAAAAAATGCTTGAAGAAGAAGTCAAAGTGGAATGGGATGTAAAATTGTTTGAAGAGCAAGTAGAAGAACCAGTCATTGAAGAAACTATAGTTGAAATAAAAAAAGAAGACGAAATAAAAGATTCGATTATAGAAGATATATTTACAGAAAAAATGGAAAAAAATAAACCATTGCAACAATTTGAATCAAATTCGCCTGTTGCTGTCGTTAAACCTCAAGAAAAACCGCAAGAAAAACCTCAAGGATTAGGATATAATCCTGCTACACATTCGTTTCTTGTATATTAAAATGAGAAAAAAAAACAATTTTTTTTCAAAATACAATATATCTTTTTTTTTATTTTCCCAATTTATTTATTCCTAAAGATATTCCTCCTGATACTAAACCGCCTAATGCTGCTTTTCCAAGTGTTGGAAGTATAGTGCTTGTTAAAAAGAGAAGTTTTGCAGGTAATAGTGCGGGTAAAAATTTTTCACGCATTCGTCTTTTATTTTTGTATTTCTTTTTTTTTCCTGTTCCACGTAAAGGAGTCAAATAAGCTCTTCCGGCGCCTTTGAGAGGTGGTAAATAAACTCTTCCACGTCCTTTTTTTTATGCATTGCGTTGATTTTGTAAATATTGAAGCGCTTGTCCTCCTAAATCAGATTTCAAAAGACGTTTAGCAAAATTTTTTATTCTTGTAAAAGTTCTTCCTTTACCACAATGAGATCGTCTATGTTTTTTACAATGTCTACAACGTCTTCGAGCCATATAAATAATTCATGAAATAGAAATGTTTTTTTTTTATAACTAGAGTGACTATAAAAAAGTATATATTTTTAACTATAAATCATTGTTTATTCTTATTTGTTGTTTTTTTACAGGGTCAATTTGATTAAAATAAAAATGTTTGAATATGTTAATTTAAGATGATTTAAGTTTAGTTGGTACATAAGTATAATTTTCTTTATCTCCTGTCCCTGTTTGAATTATAGCCGAAGGATGTTGAAGATAAAAAAAAAAGCAAATCGTTAAATTTAACATCTTGTATAAAATTTACTGTAATTTGAAAGGCATTGTTGCTAGAAATAATAGCAGGTGGTTTGTCACTGACAAAATTATAATCGCTAGTCGTATCAATAACTATAGGCTCGGTTTGATTGTTTTTGCTAATATAATCTCCAGGACTTTTAAAAAAGGTGTCATCGTCTGTTGTGAAAAAATCAGCAATGTTATTAATGTTTAATGTTGACGGTATACCCCTTTTGCACCAAGAAAGATAACTTTTCCATAAATATTGTTGATCGTCTATTTTGCTCAAATCTATATCAACGCTATCACCTGGTGAATTTAAAAAGGTCCTCCTAAAATTAGAAAGAATAATCGATTTGATGATAGTAGTAGACAAATCGCAGGGCGTCATGCAGTTTTTGTTTAAATGATCGTTTTCTTTTTTGCTTAGACAAGATATAATTATGGTGTGAGGCACAACGTCTGACGTTTTTATGTTTGACAGTGACGGAAGTTAAACCTTCTACGTTGGTTACGACTTGTTTGTAATGAGGAAATCGTAACAACGTATAAGGAATGTCTTTGTTGTTGTTCATGTATAAGGTTTTCTCGAGAGGTATGCTTTGTTTTATTTTGTAAGAGTTACAATAAATCATAGGATTTCTCATCATGACTCCTACGTTAGCTAAAGCTGTAATGTCGGCGTCAGCAATAGGTCTTACAAATTCTAACAATTGATTCAAATCGTTTTCCATATACATTTCAATTTTCATTTCTTTTCCTTTTCCAAAATAAGTTTTAATTTGAAAAAAATCGCAGACAAGGGATGAGGGAACTCTAAACTTATAACCCTTTTTGCTAAGAATGCTGTTCGAATTCACTGTAGGAGTTTGCGAATAGATATATATCATATAAGTTTGATATTCTGCTGGAACCCCTGAATTTGCGTTGCCTGCTGTTACAACATTAAGTCTTATGTTTCCGTAGGGATCTGCAGACGTGAGTAAGGCTTTACTTTTGTCTCAGGTAGCACGTTTATCTAAATCCTCACACATTCCCATCATAGCGTTGAGTATTTTATCTCTAAATTGTTTAGTATAACTTTTTTTAATCAAAAGACATTGAAAGCGATCGTAAGCGCAATTGTTAATAGCGTTGTTGCAACAATTAGAATTATTTTTTATTGCATTGGGAAACACTTTCCATGTCTTTATAAAATGCTTGATAAAATTTTGCACTAAAGTCACTTTTTTAGCTTGAGCAGCTTCTGTAGCGTCGCCCATGTTAAACGGTGTTTTAGTGCTTAAATTTTTGTAAAGCACTAAATCAAAATCCAATATGTAATCTTGGGGAAAACTCCATTCGTTAAGTTTAAGAGTAAAAGTGACCAAGTTAATAAAATCAGATGTAGATTCGCAACTAAATTTTTGCATGTTGACTGCAATAACGTCATGTTGAGGAAGAGCTGTTTTAAAACCAGGATATTTTTCGGCTAAAATGCTATTGTATTCTTTACTTATGCTTCCGTTGACAGCTTGTTGCATTAAACGATTTTTGCCTTCTGCTTTGTTTAAAATATCATCTATAGATACGGGACCGTCATGATTGGGAGTATAACGGTTACCATCTCCGTCTTTCATATATTTTGGCATTGCTCCCATTCCAATCATTTTTTTTTTAATTTAATAGAAGAAAAAAAAAAAATTTTTTTTTTAATTTAAAAAAAACGAAATTATTTATTTTTTTAATTTTTTGTATTCAATTTATTCTTCATCTGATTCGGAAGTGTTTTTTTTAAATGGTATTTTTTAATTTTTAACATCTTTTAATGCTCGAGTATAACCAAGTTCTATTAAATTTTTCTTATTCCATGTTTCTTTTTTCTTTTTCTTTGTATTTTTAGCTAAAAACGGGCTCAAAATTAAAGCTTTTTGTTAAATGATACAACTTCTACACATGTCGTTAACATCTAAAGCGTTTACCGTTTGCAAACATGTGGAGCACAACGAACTTTATGATTTATTTTTGTCCAAATTGGTGAATTGTTTCTTTTGTTTTATGGGGGGTTTTTCATCATCAGCTTCTTCTTCTTCTTCTTCTTCTTCACTAGATTCAGCATAAGTTACTTTTTTAATATTTTTATCTTTTTTTTGAGAATTTTTTTTAATATCAACAAATTCTTTTTGCTTTAATTTTTTTAAAGATTCACATTTTTGATCCAATTCAGCTCTATTGTTATTAATATCAGCTTTTGTAGAATATTGAGAAAGTTGATTTTGTAATTTGACTACATAATTTTGCAATTCGTTGATATGATCTTTTTCAGCATATTGACTTTGCACAGCACTTTTGTTGAATAAATTTTTATCGTATGGTCCTTTAGCGCAAATAAGAGACATTTTTTTTTAAGTTTTTTATTTTAATTGATTATAATTTATTTATTAATAATAAAAAAAATGGAAAAAAAAATACAAATAGGCCATTTTTTTATAAATCGGAAATCAAGTGTAAAATGGAATCATTTGTATTTTTAAAGTGGGATTAAAAAAAAACGTCAGCACTCAAATTGCTAAATTGAAGCAATTCTTTTTTTGTATTAAGAAAAGACCATTTTGTTCTTTTCCAATCTTCAACGTCGTTAATATCAAATGTATTCAATTGACCTTGAATTTTAGTTTTTCTATTTTTTAGTAAAATCGATATTCACTACGAGTTGCGTAGCATTATTGTAATCAGCCAAATTCAAAAAAGCCACAATTCCAGGCTCGTATCTTCTATTCATGTACATGCCGCATTGATTAGCTTGATCGCATTTGATAAAAATAAGATTATCACAGGATGTAGGAAAATTAGAAACGGTGTTATTAAAATTGCTTATTTGCATTAAAGTGCATCTTAAAAAGGCTAGTTTTTAATTTTGAATTCTAAAATCTTGAGCCATAATGTTGGTCATGTTTTGATCCACTTGCATAGTAAAAGGATTAGCCTCGTTAGTTAAACTATATTGATCCCTTTGCAAAAGTAAAGTATAGGGAACAGGATTGATTCCTTTCGGTTGATACATTTTTAATACAACGTTTTTGAGAGGTAAACTGTCGTTCCAAGATTTAATAATGTTACCGTTGACGTCTTTTTGATAAATAAATTGCCCGTTGAGAGCAGTGCAATAAAATGACAATTGCGTAACGCTTTGGTTTTGTAAAACAGATTTTGAACCGTCTAACCATGTTTTATGACTAGGCGTTGACGCTCTTTCTAAATTAGCCGTTGTGATCAAAGGTACTTTGAGCGTATTTGAAAAAATGGACTTACTTTGTTCGCAGTAAACCAATACTTCTATAAATGTTTCGGCGTTGTATTTAATAGTTAATGCTAATTGCGAGTACATTATTGTATAAATGTTGTCGCTTAAATTTGAAGAAATACTAATATTATCCGCTACACCGTTTCCTAATATTTCTATATAAAGAGAAAAAGAACCACCTTGCAAATCAAAAAAAATTAAATCAGTATCTGTTATGTAACTCCCTACTATTTTATTTTCTTTATCTATCAAAGCCATACTTACATATGTTGGTGATATTAGTTTTTGCTCAAAAGAGGGAAGAGCCCAAAAACTATAACAACTCATTGTGTTGTCTATAGGTATGTATGAAGAGTTTAAATCTTTGTTTATTCTTTTACTAAGAATGTTCACGTCTGTTCCTTTATAAATAAAATCGGCAAAGCTCATGTTATTCAAGTTTAAATTTAGCAAATTTGGAGTTGTCGTTTTTAATGTTTGGCTAAAAACGTCCAAAATTTTTAACTCTCGTTCTGGCCATATTACATTGTTATTATTAAAAAAAGGTATACTTAAAGATTTTAAAGGAACGTTTTGTGACAAGTATTGGTTGAAATAAAATGGTTGAAAATTCAATTTGAGTTTCATTGTTATATACGTTACCTTCATTGTAGAGTAAATTTTTGTTGCTCATTATTTGTGAGATAAAAAATGCAATTTGCCAAGGCAAATAATGTGCCATTTTTGCTGGTATTGCAGTTTGGAGTTTAGGTAAAATATTATTGATATAAAGATCTACGTCTACGCTTAAAATATTGCTGTCAGAAGTGTCGGGTATCACTTTTGAACCGAATAGACCTAAAACCACGGTTTGCGTTTTGGCTCCAAATTTAGGAGTGATCATAATGTGAAAAAATGGTTGATCAGGATCTTCGATATTGTTTAAAATGATTGAACGAACGGGATTTACTTTTGGTGTTATAACATAATTAATGTTGTCTAATGGATGTTTGGCGTAGATGATAAAATTGT